GTCATAACCTCGTGACGATAGCAGTCTTCACGCTATCACACTGTTTTGTCAGAAGTGGTGTACGTGAGAGGAGTCGCAGTGAGTGGCCGGAGGTGTCCAGGCCTGTCACTTTGCCAGTTCTATCCGAAAAGTAGACTATTCTTGCAGAATCGTGCGAAACTTTTCAACTGGAGATGACAACGATTGGACAATCCACTAAGCAAATGCAACGAAAAGCAGGACAGCGTTCTCTCATGCGCGTGTTTGCGAGGAGAAAACGTGACAACAGCACGAATTGGAGTGTCCATCTGTGCCGAGGATGTGGGTGGTCCTACCTTCTGTAAGCAAGTTGAAATGGTTGCACTGGTGTGTTGGCGACAGCGAACTGTGGACGTGGGGCTTCGATCACAACTGTGACGAATGAGTAGGAGGAGCAGGAGGAGGAAGGGACTTTCAGCACCAACTGAGGAGGTGACAGGGAAGCCAAATGCGAAGTCTGAGTCATCGAATCCCACAGATTCAGTGTACTGTGTGTGGGTGTGTCAGGTGGTTGCCTAAGCAATTGCTGGCAGAGGAGCCATACCACTGGGCGCTTAGACGTGTCTTAGTGGCACTTGACTTATTGCCCATTTATTTATCTACCTATTCCTTTATTGTTCTATCTACCCACCCACCCACCCACGAACCCGTTCACCCATCTATCCATCCATTCATCCATCTCTCCGTCTATTTACCTACTTAATCTAATCTATTCAATTCAAGCCTAGTCTGGTTTTCTCACCTATTTGTAGCAATGTGGATGTGCGTTGAAGATGAAACATGGTATTCATTGAAAGTGAAGATGCAATTGCCGACTTAAAAGTTGGTGTGTGCGCACTTCTGCAAGTCGTGCAAATTCACTCGAGAATGTAGGTCAACACTGCAACACATGCCGTAGAGATAGGAGGTCTATAAAGCACAATCCATTACTACGTGACGGTGCTCGTCTTCACACCTCAACTAAGGAGTGTGTGTGTGTATGTGTGTGTGTGTGTGTGGGTTTGTGCGTGCGGAAGTGGGAGTGGGTGGGAAAAGTAGAAATGGGGAATCCCAAAACAATGCGCCCATGTACTTTGTACACGCATTGTTTTGCAATGGATGAGCAATTCCATGCATCAAATGAACGACACAATCAACCGGAAGGTTTGACAACTTGTTGTCGAAAATGCACAATGGAACGTGGAAAAGGTGAATAATTTCATAAATCCCCTCACAACGTAGACTGCGAAATTGAGGAGCAAAGCACCCAGACACCTTTCCCACAAAAGCATGCCAATGAATCATGATGAGCAAGAGTGATTGACAGACACACTTATTGAAGCCTTCATGGCGAAGCATGATGTGACATGCCCTATCCTAAGGTGAGGTTGAAAGAAGTACAAGAATCGCCTAATTGTAGTTTACAGAAGATCCTCTCGCTTCGCAGTATCAGGGGAATGGTACAAATATTAGTAGATGCAAATGTTTTGCGCAGCACTTGTATAACCGCAAAAACCCACACCGATTCATCGTTAAAGATGTTGCAGAGGACACAAGTGTAAGTTTAGTGCTACTGCACAGCAAGTGCATGGCTGGAGGATTGGTGTTTGCGGTCTTCTGATGCTCTGGAAGACGGGACATGGGGCATGGGAAGAGTGGAGAATCAGCGCTTAAGATTTTTTGTAAAGGAGGGGGAGGAAGAGGCGGAGATTTGTCCATCGACACAATTTGAAATATTTGACCCAGTTAAGTCGGAATCCGACCTTCCCTAAATTATTGTAATAACACATCAACGG